AGTGCAGCATGACTTACTTGTTCTGAAGGGTTTGAGGAGAGGAAGGGGGAGTGGGATCCCTATAGAGATTGGAGGGCTGGGGAGAGAAGTGGAAAATAGGTATTAAGGGTGAGCAAACTTTTTGGCCCGAGGGCCACATCATGAATATTGTATGGTGGGTCATGAATGCTCATGAAATTGGGGTTGGGGTGGGGGGGGGGGGTGTGGGCTTCAGCTGGAGATGCGGGCTCTGGGGTGGGGCTGGGATGAAGGATTTGGGGTGTAGAAAGTGCTCCAGGCTGGGCCTGAGCAGTTCGGAGGCTGGAGGGTGATCAGGGCTGGGGCAGAGGGTTGGGACATGGTGGGGGGGGGAAGCTCTGGCTGGGGGTGCAGGCTCTGGGGTGGGGCTGGAGATGAGGGGTTTGGGATGCAGGAAGGTGCTCCGGGTGGGGATCGAGGGGTTCGGAGGGTGGGAGGGGGATCAGAGCTAGGGAAGGGGGTTGGGGCACGGGAGGGGCTCGGGGTGCAGGCTCCGGGCGGCAGTTACCTCAAGCAGCTCCCGGAAGCAGCAGCGTGTTCCCCCTCCGGCTCCTACACAGAGGTGCGGCCAGGTGGCTCTGCGCGCCGCCCTGTCTGCAGGAGCTGCGGGGGCGGCACTTGGGGCAGGGGCAGCGCGTGGAGCCCCCTGGCTGCCCCTAAACGTAGGAGCTGGAGGGGGGACATGCAGCTGCTTCTGGGAGCCATGTGGAGGCGTGGCATGCATGTGCGGAGCGGCACCCGACCCTGCTCCCCAGCTGCAGCGCGGGAGCGGGGCAAGCCCCAGACCCTGCTTCCTAGCAGGAGCTCGAGGGCCGAATTAAATCGGTTCGTGGGCCGGATGTGGCCCGCGGGCGTACTTTGCCCACCCCGATCTAGAATCTGAATTCTTTAATTAATTTCCTAGGGTTTACACTTGCAAAGATAATGTTCCAAAAGTGAAGTGAGCATAATTGATGTAGTGACATCTTCCTGAGTCTGCAGACAGCCTGAAACGATCTGAGAAGTGGGAGCTGCCACTTTTATGTCCATATGGTTAACTCCAGATCTTAATGACGACTGTTAAAGTGGCAATGTGGCTCTACCTTGGGATGGCCCTGGGTGGGGAAGTGGGGTTCGGGGGGTGTTGTATGTGCCTCAGTCCCTGGGGGAGGTTCACCACTCATTTGATTTGGTGTTATAGGGGGATCAGGTCAGTGCAGGAATTTTCCTCAAGTCCTAGTTGAAATACTCCTTTCGTTCCCAGGTTGGGCTTGGCCTAGCATTGTGCATGATTTTGAATTTTTTTGAGGAAAGCTCTGTATTTGCCCTTCCAACACTCTTTCTTGAAAACGGTTCCCTCTGGCAGTATGAGAAGAATGCTGGGGGGGGGGGGGGGGGGGGGCCTGGGCTGGGCTGATCTCTTCATTAGTTTCTCTACAGGTGCCTGGGGGAGCCTTTTGCCATATCTTTGTTCTTGTGTGGAATGCAGGTTTGATAATAGTGAATGCCTGGTATGGGAAGTTTGTCAATGACAATAGCAGGAAGAACGAGAAAGTGAAAGTCATAGATGTGACCGTGCCCCTGCAGTGCTTGGTGAAGGACTCTAAGCTTATCCTCACAGAGGCCTCCAAGGTATGCAATGACATGTGCTGAATTGCCTCGTGGGTGTTAACCTTTGCTGCAGGCCCTGCACATCCCAGTCCTGCACCACCTCATCCTCCCCTGGCAGAGTGCAGGCAGGCAAACTAGAAGTAAACTCTAATCCAGAACAAATGCATCCACAAAAAGAGCTGCTCTAAAGTATTCTTAAATGATAGAGTTTAAATAACCACCATGAACACCTAACAGAGCTGACACTTTTCCTGAATGTCCATGGCTTGTATAGGAATTGAAGGGCTCGCTCAATTATGTTATCAGATATGTAATAACTACTGTAGGTCAGTGGGAGAATCAGATGCATTTAACTAATGTTGGATGTTAAAGGGACACTGTCATCTTGAAAATTACATGTCTGAAAATTATTTACCTGCTATTGTTATAAATAATGCCTAAAACCACTAGCAGAAAGATTAAAGGGGAGAATTATTTTTTTATTTACTTTGAATTTACTTTACCTTGGCTGCACTTCGTAGTCACTTCTGCTGATTTCCCTACACAGTCAGTTTCCCTTGTTGTTTGTGAGAGTCTCTCACTCAGCTGCAGGGGGAGAAAAATATTTAATAAAATAGGAAAATTTAATTATAAAACCAACCTTTAGGCAGATGTAATTGAAAGTGTCTTTAACTAATGTTTTACATTAATTAGTTGGTGTTGATGGTGTCCCATGTGCAGGAGACCAGCTTCAACTCCTTTTAAAACTCCCTCTTTCTATTGTAACCTAAAAGCACCAGTGGGAGAGCTGTGAGAATGCTCAATGTGTTGTTTTCATTGTTGAAGACTGGGCTGCCTGGGTTCTATGACCCGTGTGTGGGCGAAGAGAAGAGTTTGAAAGTGCTGTATCAGTTTCGGGGAGTTCTACATCAAGTGATGTCTGCTGACAGCGAGGCCCTTAGGATACCAAAGCAATGTAAGTAGCAAGGATTGCGTTCTCCTTCCTCCAGTCACCAAGCCCCAATTCCAGCAGAGAGGACAGGATCTCCTCAGGCCCGCCCACAATTCACTGGGCTGCACTCCATCGCCGTGTCTGGCATCAGTGATGCCTTGCTGTTGCTAGTTAGGATGTCTCAATTGTGCAAGTGCTCTTCCAGGGACAGTGGAGCCATAAGCTTTGAGGAGTTAGCCTGTTCTGGATATGTCTCTAATGAATAGCTGCATTGTGATTTGGCTGAAGAGTACAAGTCCTTTCTAAACCAGTCTTGGGCACCTCAGACTGTGTGCTACCCTTTGGAGAATTCTGGTTTCTAAGTGATCAATCTCTTACTTTTGATGCTTTTGTAAGTTGGTGAGAGTCTTGCATTCAGTGATTTCCTTTGCTGCTAGTAATTCTGTTCTGCAACTGACACTATGGTAAATGTTGCTGAGAGTTAGGACATCTCTATTAATAAACATGAACTGAGTCCATTTGTTCTTAACAGCTCACAGGATTGATGCGGACGGCTAATGTGGTGAGAAAACAGGGTGTCATGTCTGATACCTGAATCAACAGAAGCTGCAAAACCTTCCTCCTGGATTCTACAAGTTTGAAACTGAAACTGAGATGTTTTTATTTTTATGATCCATATAGAAGGCGGTGTCATACCAATTATGTTAAGGGGTAACGAGAAAACCTGCTCTTACAGGTACCTCCAAGGCAATACTGCCCTGGATTGTGGCTTGGCAGCCAATAGGGAACATGGCTGAGAACGTGCAGTGCTCTCTGCGTGCCCATCACCTGGCTGGGAGGTGTGATGGGTAGAGCCCCAGCTGTCATGTGTCCAAGCCTTTCCTGCTGTGAGTTAACTGCAGCTCATTTGTCCAGTCTCATTGTTTCTTCTCACTGTCAGCAAGATGGGAAGTGGAGGAGGACTCTTTGCTCTCCCTTTCCCTCAAGCTTACAGGGTTGGGGTTAGTTAACTGAAAACAAATAGCTAATTTAACCCTTTCTGCTCCTACGGGTAAACTGAAGTTTGTGGCCACCTCCTAAGAATCCTCTCTATCAATCCTGTTACTGGACAGAGGATGTGCTGTTCATCCCACTTCTTTATTTAAAATGTACTTTTTGTTTAAGGACAAGTATGTTTAGAATGAAGTTCTCTGCTTTTCCTAATCACGTGGACCTTTTTCAGCATGCTTCCATCCAGCTGCCAGTAGCATTCGTTCCAAGCACTATTATTACTCCAGATTAATTATAGATTATAACCACTGTCCATGTCAAATTAATTTTGCTCCTCCTCACCCAGGACTGCATGTTGTTTTAAGTCTTTTTTGGGGGAAAAAGTGAATTAGATTAACTGAATAGTTCTGTTCCTCGCTGATTCTGGTGCTGCAACTCTTCCCATCTGATTTTATGCTGGGAAAAGAGGGAAATTAAGTTGATACAAGTAAACCAGACCAAAGCGTAGAGATGTGCCAAATAGGAGGAACAACTGAAAACTTCAAAACAGTGACTGCCACCAGTCTGAGTGGCTAGATTCCCTAGAATAGCCTTAGGATGCAACCCCTGCCTGTGATTTATCTTACCTCTAGAGAGGTGCACTCTTGCTCTACCAACATAGCTGAAAGCAGCAGGGCTGCTGGAAATAGCACTATTAAGTATCTGGCATCTTAGTACTTTTAGATATTTATATAAAAGGGAGAGTGGTGGCTATTACGCAGGCACTGAAATGTAGTTCTACTCTTGGCCAGTCCTGGGGGGGGGCCTTTATCATTTATATGCAAGAGATTTAGGAAGACGAGCATATGGACAGAGGCATTGTTGCTACTGATAACTACTGGAGTAAATAACTTCCTGACATGCACCTTGGCCCCTTATTTCTTTAGTGTAACTGCTGTTGTGTTTACTTATGTCAGTCCTATCTCCCCCTCATAAGCGTGAAATCACATCAGGGAATTTCATTTGCAATAGTCCTTGTCCAAGAGCAGGTTTATCACAGCTATTCTAGGAAAGCTGATAATTATCTCTCCCCTCCTTGTTCCTACAATCAAGTGCTGCTTGCCAGTTTTTTTATCAGAAAAATCTCACCTTTTTATGCGTGAACAGCGCCTGTTCTAGGAATGCATTTCATTCACTACCATCTCACAGTGTTTTTTGATCTGAAGCTAAGTGTCAACTGTGCAATAAATTTTGTGTTGAATCAATTTTCAGTTGAAAACTCCCCGCTGTTTCCTTTGCTGCAGATGGATTTTCCACACATTGATTACTTCACCTTGTTTAAAGCTGGTGGAAGAGAAAACACTGTATTGTCATAATAAATCCTCTTTGAAAGCTGTGGGTGGTGAGTTAGTTATATTTTTATAAATTCAAGCTTGGCCTCTTTCAAATCCTTCCTCAAGACCCACTGTGAATGGTGGTTTTTACAGTAAATTGCTATGTGATGGCTGGGCAGGATGCCAGCATCTTCAATAAAATACTCAAATGTGCATCACCTCTTCCACCTACCACCAGCTTATTTTATTATTGTATCTTAGTCTCGGATGTAAGCTCTTCTTGGGAAGGAACTGTCTCATCTGTGTTTGTAGGGTGCTTAGAGCGATGTTGCTCTGGCTACTGTAACAGAATTTCCCATAACAGGATTGTGTGGGGATTGAGTAAAGGCTGAGATGCGAGTAGTAGTAGGTATAAAATAGCTGTAAAACATTTGCTGTTAATTATAAGAAAAAATCCCAACAGCGCAGATAAAATCCAGCCACAGAATAGAGATGAAACATTAAACAATAATTCATTAACTTTATACAAGAATAAAATCATTTACCCTCTCACTGATGTTTGCCTGATGTAAATAGTTATAATACAGTTTTTGCTGTCATGAAAATCTGTTTTCATATAAATTATACTGAATGGGATGGGGAGAAAAGAGCTAGCACCATGACTTACAAAAGTGGTCTCTGGCCCATGCAGTAGTTCTACAACTTTGGAATTACTTCACACCTTGAAAAGACAATGTCTATATGACTTAACATTAGCTTAACTAAATGTAATTGCCAGAAAAGTTCCCAGAGTCTCTTCTCACACACCCGTATACACCTGGCATTCTTACTTTATTATAAAGGCATTTAGATTACAAATGCTGAGGCAAGAAGTGCAGGTTTCGGGAATTTTTTACATTCTATTTCTCAGCCAAGCTCCCTTTGCTAGTTCTCATTTGACCATGTGTATGCTGGGTACTTATGATGTATGTGAACTTTAAGCTATGCTCATCAGAAACAGTAGTGAGTACGTTACTCACTCTATAAAGTACTCTAGCCGGCAGCCTGTCGAACCACAGTTCTTGCTGGTAGATGAGTGTTCAGAAAGTCAGGCCCTGTTCCCTCCCACCAGGCTGTCTGGCCTGGTGTTTTTGCTGCTCCTTTTTGCAGGCCTGGAGCCGCACAAACATCCTCCTCAGTGCCATGCTTTTAACCTTTAGACGTTTTTGCAGTTTTTCATTTTCCTCTAGTGCCTGGAAAAGTTTTTGTTTTAAGGAAGCACAGTCACTGACAGCATAGTTGTGATCTGAGGTCTGAACGGGGTGGTGTCTCTGCACTGGGGGCCTGGATTGCAGCAGCCAGCCCTCCACTTCTGTTGCCTTAGTTGTGCCAACCTGAAAAGAACACAGGGAGTGAAAGTGAGGGATGCAGCGCTTGGCTGGATGGGTATTATACAGGGAGACACTACGCAAGCTTCTTCCACAACATGACTAATGCACCTCACCCTGAGCAGCCCCTAGTCCAATCCTGGGAGTCAAGCAGAAGCTTTCCTACTAGTCATGCTACTTTGCCCGTCTCTCTCTCTGAGACTAAAGTGTCTCCATATTTCAAAGGGGAGGTTTGCATTCTTCTCATTGTACAGTAAGAGGAAGTGATTTGCTCAACACACAGCTAGTCAGTCGCAGACCCAACAATATAATCCAGGTCTCCTGACTCCCCAGTTCCTGCTGTAATCACCAGACAATTTTTTTTCAGGCAAATTGCATGGTAGTTTTTGTAATGGACAGATATCCCCAAAGCTCAGCACTGAACTCTTTTCACGTGGGATCTTCTGTGTTTGAAGTCAAATCCCCAGAAACTAGCAGTGGCTGGAGTCTTACCCAATCCCCCTGAATATACTTAATGAAAATTGAATTATTCTTGAAACAAGGTCAAGTCACCAAAGCTCAATGGGTGCTTGCTCTCCAGTTCTGTAAGAATCATATTAAGTTTTCAAGTCAAGAGTCACAGGGCCTCTACGGCCAGTTCTTTTCTATATGAAGTAACAAAACATTCACTCATTTCTGCTTCCCTGTCTCTCTAGTGCTTTGAGCTCAGCTGTGTGTAATTGTCAAAAATGTTTGATTTTGCCTAAGCTGTGAGGTAAAGTGACTAACTCTCTTACCTCTTCTAGTGGTTCCTCTGTTCTACTGGGTTGGGGCTCTTGATGCAGAACAGTTTCTTCATCTAATCTCCTTCCATCCTCTGTCCTTGTAAAGTCCTAAAGAGACCAGGGAATTACCCAAACTCAAGCAGCTCTTATTTTCAACACCACTAGTATTACAGCTTAAAGGGATCTCCGTTCCAGGAGAGACAGTCAGTGTAAATGAGCCATATGCTCCCTTTAGGCCTTCATTTTTATTTCAACATAAAGTACAAAATTACTAACTGGAATTAAAATAGAAGTGATAAGCAATTGGGACTGAAATTTTAGCTTGCTCCAGTGCCATCCAGTGAAAATACTCGCTTCACACCGTTTGGAATATTTAGACAAGTACACCTCCACCCCGATATAATGCGGTAAAGCAGTGCTCCGGGGGATCAAAGCAAGTTCAATATAACGCGGTAAGATTTTTTGGCTCCCGAGGACCGCGTTCTATCGAGGTAGAGGTGTATCTACAAAAAGGGGGTATTTCAGTGAGAAGGAACCCCAAATCCTAGAGAATCACCATGTGCTGTACAGCAAAATGCAGCATTGCCCTCAGGTTAAAAAAAAAAAGGTGCCAAAGGCTGGAAGGGACAAATGTACGGTAGGCAATTTGGAATCCTCAGCATCATGTATTGTAGAGGGCTCGTCTCCTTCCTGATTTGCTATAGTGAGGACAAGGCCCTCAGGTTCGCGTGACATTTCTGAGAATCCCAGTGCTACTTGCTGTCCAAGTCTGATTCCCATTTGGAAGGAAACCACATACAACATTCTTGGCTCTCCAAGGAAAAAAGACAGCAATAAAAAATGATCACGGTCCTCAAGACAATGTAGTATTGTAGCCTTAAGCTTCACACAAGGTTTTAACAAAAACTTCCCCTGTTTAATGTTTGACTAAACAAAATGGGAATAAGACTGGGTGATGTGTATACATGCATAAACTTTGTGGGTTAGTTATAACTGACCTTATATAAACAATCAATTCCAGGTGAACTAGCATCCCTCTCAGACCTGGTAGGATCTCTTCTCCCCCTTTACTTTTGAAAGGGGTAGGGCAGTTTGTAGAATAGCACTCATCAGGTTTTTAGCTAGAACTGATGGGGCGGGAACTTGTGGCTACTCTAGCCAAGAGTCATTGTAGTTTTGTCTTATGTACTATTTGAATTGTTACAAGGAGAGTGGAACATGCTTCCGTCATCTGTCAGTATTTTAAACGTGTATGGTTTGCATGAATAAATGTGTGGGAATTCACTTTGAGGGGAGGGATATTGAGCCTTGGCCTGCTAAACCCAGGGATGTGAGTTCAATCCTTGAGGGGGCCACTTAGGGATCTGGGGCAAAATCAGTACTTGGTCCTGCTAGTGAAGGCAGGGGGCTGGACTCGATGACCTTTCAGGGTCCCATCCAGTTCAATGAGATAGGTATATCTCCATATATAAGAAGGAATTTGTGTGCAGGATGCCATTTTTCAAGAACCTCTTTCACAGGGTAGAAATAGGAATATTTGTTGTTGCAACATATTGACAAGTTGTAAGTGTAAGGAGAGCAGCTAAAGATTAATTGCTATTATTAACAGGAGCACCTAGTATTTTCCCAGCACTGCCAGCAGCCCAAGTATATTAAACACACAACTAGATCTGACCACTCTCCTACTAGATATGGCATTTTTACTACTGATTTCAGTGGGAGCAGGCTTAGGTTAACAGTGATTGGGAATTGACTTCATCATAAAAATCGATAGCAGGGAGTGGCTCCTTGACTAATGCAAGGGGCAAAGCATTTGGGACCCTGAGGAACAGTTCACATGGGATGTGACATGAAGTGATGCCCTTTGTGGGGGAGGACAGAGCCGTGTCTGTTACGTTGTCCCCATTGTACAGAAAAAGAAGGGGGGGAGCGTAGTGTCCAATAAGCTCCCCAGTGTCTCTCACAGCCCCTGCTCTACCCACTAGCTCCCACCCCTCTCCCACAACCAGGACTAGAACCCGGTAGGGTTACCAAGTCTCCAGGAATTAATCTTTAATGAAAGATTGTCATGCGATGAAATCTCCAGGCATACATCCAATCGACACTGGCCACCCTAGACCGCGGCCCTGCCCGGCTCACCCTGCCCGGCTCACCCTGACGGTGCGGGGGAACGCGAAGAGCGTGGGCACGGCGTTGGGCTTGAGGTTGGTGCGGTTGCCGAAGGCGCTGAAGCAGTCAGGCTGGAAGTGCTGCGAGCAGAGCACCGTGTGCGAGCTGGGCTGGAAATCGCCACGGCCAATGTTCCCCACCCAGCGCGCCAGCAGCTCGGGCCGGCTGAACGGGAACCTGCGGGAGACAGCGGCGTGAGGCCGGCCCAGGTATCTAGGGGAGGGGCCGGGCCGGGCCCCGGTACCTGGGGGGCGGGGGAGGGGCCGGGCCCCGGTACCTGGGGGGGTCGGGCGGTACCTGAGGGAAGGGGGAAGGAGAGGGGCCCGGCCCCGGTACAAGGGGAGGGGCCCGGCCCCGGTACCTGCAGGGGTCGGGCGGTACCTGTGGAAGGTGAGCTGCTGCCGGCAGCGGCTGCTATAGCGGTTACTGTACCGAAGCGCCGCGCACGATTTGGGCATCGCGCGTTGCCCCCAACAAAGATGGCTGCGCCCCCTCCTCGGACCCTAGGCGCCCCCTGCAGTACGCGCCTTCCGGGGCGGATTTCCCGCGCGGGGGCCAAGCGGTCTGCTTTACCCCTCCCCCACGGGGCAGAGCGAGCGAGACTCCGCCCGCCAATGACGGCCTTTCCCAGCATGCATCGCGCCTCTCCCTTCTGTCACGCCTGCTCCCAGCGTCCCCTGACGGGTTGTGCGCAGGGCAGGCTGGGAGCTGTAGTCCCTGGGCCGCAGGGCAGGCTGGGAGCTGTAGTTCGAGCAGCCGCCTGAGGGGAGGAGCGGATCGCTCGCGCTCCACCTGTTGCGCCTGGGCCGCGTCCGTGGGGAGCTGAGGGGGGGCATCGCGGAGAAACGACAGCGAGCGCCGGCTTCCCGGCCCCGCCCCGCCCGTGACCCCCAGGCAGCTCAGAGCCCCCCCGCCCTGGGTCGGGCTGTCTCCGCCCCCTGCGGGGAGGGCGTCGCTTTGTGCGGGAGCCGAGGTCCCCCCTGGCTTGCAGGGCTGCGGGAGCTGGGCCGGTAACAAATTGCCCAATAGCTCGAGCGTCAACACTCCAATCCTCAGTTGGCAGCAGTAGGGCCGCCCTACCTCTGAGCGGGCCCCCTGCCTCCCGCCTTGCCCTCAGCCCTCCGCCGTAGACAAGAAAAATACAGCTGCCAAGATCATCTTCTCATGGAGTCAGCCCTTCTTGGATCCCCACCACCATCCACTGCACCACAGCAGACACCAGCTGCTTCCCTCGCCTTTGCAACTCTGTCCCCTCCCTCCTTGATAAAGAACAATATCTATAAAATTGTGTATATTTGATGGCATCACTCCCCACCCTCCCTAGATCATTTGATTTTGTATATTGCAAGCTCTGCCAGATGGATGTTTTCCATCACCTACCCTACTGGACACTTATTAGGGCTTCTGTCCACTATGGAAACATAATAGAATCCTAACTTCAAACCGAGGGAGGAAAAAGCAAAAGAGAAAACGATCCCATTAATGGATGCTTCATATTTTTAAGAAAAAAAGCACCATTTGTTAAAATAACCACTTTTAATGAAAAAATAAAGCTCTGAATTAACTTGTAATCATACATAGATGAAAGTGATTAACTCAAAACACATGGACATGGTTGTTCCTTCTTCTACTAACATTGTAACATGCTGGGGTTGTCAGACACCATCTATTGGGGTAAATCTGCAAAGGTAACAGAACAAGAGTCAAAAGAGTTAAAAGTAATCTTGAACCTCTAAGAAACAGAGGCAGCTCACTTGGCAGTTTCTTGTATTTCTCCCATAAAACAACAGGAACTTATCCTACAGTGGTCCAGTTGTACTGCAGATGTGCCGTAAACACAAAGATGCCAACACTTGCATCAGGTCAAACCCTTATACAGACTGTGAACAGAATCTTCTTCCAAAGCCTCGTATGTTGCAGTGAAAACAGCAACACGTGGGAACTTTGGTTATTTATCTGGCTGCAGAAGACAGCCCTATGACGCAAATCTTTGGCAAACTCCTGGTTCCATTTAGCTTCTGGTAGGTAGTGTATCATGGTTGTCTTAGATTTTAGTGGAGCTGTTTATAAAACCAGATTTCAATTGCTGCAGCTATAAATCAAATTCATTTTATGGGCTTTTCAAACTGCACCAAGTTTTAAAATGGACAGTAAAATACAATAGTGCAGTTCGATCATAATGATAAAAAGTAATGGATCTTTTCCATCATTAGGTCCCATCTAATCAAGGCCCTGGGCATTGTAGGACTATGCTATACAATCTGTTCTAGTACTCTGCGCAGCCTAGTGTTAAATGTCCAAAGGGGGTCCCCGACACTGCCAGGATGTTTTTCCTGATAAATCAATATTCAAATAATGTGTCAGTCTGATACAAAGCATCTGCTGCATTGATTCCTGGCAGTTCTGTCTTCTTTCAGATATAAATGAACATCAGTTAGTGACTCCCGCTCATCTAATAGTCTGACAGGACAGAATGTCCATTGTTCATTAAGCATCATATGATTTAGGAGAATTCTCTCAAGAACAAAGATCCAGTTTGTGCAATAAATACAATGCATTTTCAATTTGGTCATTTAAAAGGAAATAAGGCCTACACCTTAGTGGCCTCACGTACCAGTCTTGTTTCCCTGAAGCATTCTCTAGACCAGTGACCACTGCGCTTTCTGCTCCCTAAAAGGGCAGTCACAAGATATAAACATTTTCTGGTCCCAATGCATTCCCTTATCCTCTGCAGCTCTGGATTGTTCTCTCAACTGCAGCCCACCTTGCCAGTTGCATAGGCCATCTATCCAGGATTGGGCTGGATGCCCTAATATACAAATGGGAGCAAATTAATGTATGTGCATCCACCAGTTCAAAAATTTACAAATCCAGCCCAGGAAACCATTAATGAAAATGCAGGTAAACCCAGCCCCAGTACTCAGATGGGGACAGCCCAAATCCAAACTAGGTCTGTCTAAATTCCTAGATTTTAATTTATCAAGGCCCACTGTGCAGCCCAAGCTTTACTTCCGGGCTGGAGGAGGGAAGGGAATTGGTGTCTCCTAAAACAATGCTTTTCAGCTGAGATCTCTGAAATGAGACACCACACAGGGCTGTGGAACAGAGTGGATGGCAGCCCACAACCTCATGTTTGAGTCACTCATGCAAAACAAAATCATGAAAATGGTTTTAAGAGGACGCAGCTTAACTAAGGAAGAAAACTGACATGGCCACCTCCAGTACAGCCCACCCAGAAAAAAGAAAGGTCTGTATCTCTCTTTTAAAGACAACAGTCCATAGAGCTGTGGGAACTAACTGGTTTTACCAGAAACAAAGCCAAATCATAGAACTCAATGGATACTCTCCTACTACCCAGCTGAAGGGGAGGCAAGTCACATGTGAGTTCAGTGTGCATTCAAGTTCACTCTGAAGGAGCCTTCAGAAATTCTTAAGATTGATACATATGGACAAATGGGCAGGTCTAGTATTACAATAAAACATATGGCTGTTTATTTTCAGACTCTTCAGAGATTTCTCTCCTCCTGCTCTGGAGGATGATTATTTTCTTCAGCACCTAGAAGTCTTGCACTTTCTTAACACTTTCCCAGTGGGATGAAAATTGATAGGTAGCAAAGGTAAACACTCCCAAATCATCATCCCATTCATAGTCTGAACTGGACAAAATCCCACTGAACCTGGGGTGCTTAGAGTGTCCCTGCTAAAGCTATTCAGCCTCTAGCAGAAATTTTGGCCAGCAGGCCTCTTCCAGCTCTGGCAATCAAAGACATTGAATACCTTATGTCTGTTTACACAGACAGACACTTTTGCCTGAGCAACTGCAGTTCAGAGGAGCTCTCTTGCCCCCCTGGCTGGAGTTCTGTGTTTTGCATGGCTAATCTGCCCAAGCAGTATGCCGGCACGGTAGTTCCCTCCACTAGTCCAGAAAGCGCCTGCGTGAACCCATCCGGGAGCGGTTTGAGCGGCGAATATCAAACTTGGAGTCCCGGCACTTCTGGCAGACATAGACCTCTGGAACATTTGATTTGCGGATTTTGGCACAGGAGAGGTGAATCCAGGTGTGACACTCATTACATTCAATCATTGGCCGTCCAGCAAAAGGTTTCATGCAGAAACAGGTCACGAGATCCCAGGAATCATCATCTGGAAGGAAAAAACAGCGAGTTAAAACTATTACTTCTTTCCTCCTGCTGCACGCCGAACTCTCCCTTTTGGCGCTGAACTTACTCCGTGGTTTAAAGGCAGTCCCTACAGGCCTGTGATGATTTGGGGAATCTGTCACTGTTCAGTCTATGAGTTCCGTTTGTAATTATGAACTCTGTATATTGACGCCATTATGGTAAACTGCACTGTGTTCTTGCCTCATACTCCTTATGCTCAGGAGATGGGAGTGGACCCTACACGTCTATCTCTGAATAGGTCAGTAATTAAAGACTACCACACCTGAACAGACCTTGCCTGTACAGAACAAAGGAGTAACTGCATCCTAGATAAAACCATTTTTCCTCCAACTTCCCCAGTGGAGGGAACAAAGATGAGGTGTGGGTACAGACAGCCCTTTAAAACACAGAGATTGGGCTGGTCAGACAGACAAAAGAAGCTTGGGGCATGAGAGAGCAACAAAGGGCCATGCTTTTTTAACAGAAGGAACTTTTTGAAGGTAGAACCAGCTAAGGCTGGAGGAAGCTGCCTGCAGGAGAGAAAGATACTCCATATTATCAAGGACAAGCCTTGAACTGTAGGAAGAGTATCCTGGACACCCTGAAAGGATGCTGACCCAAACCCCCAAAACACTCAAGAGTGGCGAGAAAAGTGAAACAGGGACTGGTGTGTAGCTGTTTTTTTATTTTGCCTACATCAGTATGTAGGGTAATTGTGTTAGAAACCTTCTGCAAAGTGTGTGTTCATCTGCTTCAATGATCATGTGTCCCTGAAGAAGTAAATTAGAAGCCAGGGTGCCCACATGGTTAGAGCTCTAGGCAGGATGTGAAGCAACTGTGGAGTTTCGGGGAAGACAGAACTCATCTCAAGGCCTAGGCAGTTGGACTGCAGAGTCTCTGCTTTCAGAAAAGGGTGTTAGAAAGTGAATGTGCACCCTGAAAGTGTGCCTAGAATCAGTGCCTGAACTCCACTCAGAGTCAGGAAAGCTTAAGAGCTCATGGGTCCAGTGCTGGGACCTAAATACAGCAGCCTGGTGAATGTCCAGCAGGAGGAAATTGACAAGTCCTTTCCAGGGCATGCCAGAAGCTGTAGTTTGCACCCTCTACTGCCTCCTGCACCTTGCTCTAGGACAGAATCTCAGCAAACCCAGAGGGTAAATATGGAAAGAAAAGGGCTCAACTCCCAAAACTAGCTTCCAACTTTCTGTCCAGTTTACATTAAGCCTCTCAGAAAACACAGCTTATGGGAAGAAACCCTCACCTCAGAGTCTGGAAAGCTTAATTCAGGTGCTAGGTCACTAAGCAATAAACATTCTTTGCTCTTCTCTACCCACTTCTATCCAAAGATCTAAAAGTGCTTTGCAAACACTAATGAATTTTGTCCTTAAATCCCCCCAGGAGACAGATCTGCACTATCCCATTTTATAGAGGAGTTGAGTGCTAATAACATACTAGATAGAAAGATGATAGCCACCTATGATCTCAATCTGACTAAACACCTCACAAATATCTCCCCTTAGCAGGGTTGTTTACCTGAATCCACCATAATGTCCTCATCATCACCAGTGCCATCCTCATCCCGAAACACAACCTGTTTGCCCTGCCGTATGACCGTGCGTTTGCCCACGCTCTGTATCTCCATGCCCTGCTCAGCAGTCTCAGGAGGGTACGAGACATTGGAAGGAGTGTCAGAGTCCCAAACTGAGCAATGGTCAGTCACAGACTGAGGATCACCCTCAGATGAGGGACTCATGGGGGTCTCAACATAAGAATCCTCCGCCTCTAGCTTCAGCAGCTTCCCCCCGTATTCTTCCTCCACAGACGCTTCCGTTTCTCTTCTCTTCAGTTTTTTCTTCTTTCTGATCTTATCGGTTTGCTTTCGCTCTGGCAGAAAGCTGCTCGGTTTTGCCCGCTGGAATAGGGAAACGTATGGTTTTGCTCGCTTGAGCTGACTAAAGCTCTTTCTGCTCTTGACTGGCAGGGAGACAGCAGAAGGGAGGTCATTGAATCGGGGGTCCCAGCTATCACTGTCGATGGTACCTCCAGTACTATTGGGGGGGCTGGGGCTGCTCCTCAAGGGGGTCTCCTAGAAAATATTAAGAGACCAGATGTGAGTATAATTTTAGAGTTGATAATAAACCTCTTAGACAACCACTTATTACACCCACCTTTTTGAAGAGGGAGGATGGGGAAGGATCTATACCTGTCACAACAGGCTCCCTGTCTAACTAAAAATCACATAATCTCTACTTATCCAGCCACTATCCTACATTATTTACCTTCTCTCATCCTTACCTGTGGCCCAGGACAGGTACAGCTGAGTGTTAAAGGCACTAAATAATTTTCAGTAAAGTGTTTCCAGGAGTCCAGACTCCCAATTCCTTCCAAGTGCTTTGTATCCTAAGCTCCTGCTGGGAATTCCAGACAAGGAAAACAATTGGCTCATTTTAAAGGTTGCGTGGCAATCTGAAGTTTGTGGCTGCCTAGGCCTAGGATACAAAAGGGAGGGGACTCTGGCATGAATACCTCTAACATAATATTTTTACACTGCACAGAAATCATTCACCAATCAAATAATTTAAACAGAAATGGTACTTACTGACCTTTAAACTTTTTTCTGTCCCCTCAAGCAAGACAGCGGTTTGGACTGCCTCACTTTTGATTAAAGAAGAGATTACATCATATTCCAGGAGCCTGAGGGTTACATTTAACTTTATAAGTGTAGGGACATTTGTGGCTCAGGTGGGAGGCTGACAATATCCAGTCACGTTCCAAGTTCCATAATTTGTTTCGGAACATCACAGGCCAGTGGGTTCCTTTTTGTCCCATCAGGAGCTTTTACAGGACCTTACCCCTCAAACACATCCACTTTATCTATCTAGGTATTTATACCATGCTTGTCACCCTGATAACATTTAATCTATCAACAGCACTAGCTATAGCAATGTGTACCTGAAATAAAATAAAGATTGAGTTGCTGCACCATTACCTCTTGTGGGTAGGGGATGTAGCCAGCATATGCCAAGACAAAGGTGCAAAATTTGTTGAAATCTTCCACAGTTCTGTGTCTCTTGGAGCTGGGAGAAAAATCCTGTTAAAGAGACAGCAACCAGAACATTAACATGAAATTTCTGAACAAACCAGCAATAATGTCAAATCAGAGACAACATAAGGATTTTGTACACATGGATATCCATCTCTGAGATTGATAGTTTCAGAGTGTCTCTTATATAGTCAAAATGCAAGAGAGGGCACCTTGGGGCAATCCTGTGATTTAACATGCTTGTCAGGGCTTTTTGCTGAAATTGAATTCTCAGGTTTGTCTGGCTCCCCTTCTAGGTATTCCCACATGCCTGTTTCCAGCAGTGGTTTCTAACGGCTTTGGGGTCTAATATTGTATTGAACACAAATTCTTCTTTAAAGTCAGCTATTAAAGACAGGGAAGAAGCTAACCAGTCACTAAAACAGCTGTTTGGGTACTGTGAAATCTGCACATCCTGTTAATGTAACTGATAAGTTAAATTCACTGATTGCTGTTCTCTTTCTGGTGCAAAGTCTACATCATGGCTCCTACCCACAACTCAAAGCTCCTGGAAACAGCAGACTAACTACACATGGAGAGTCTGCCTGGACACAGAATACTTCTTCAGGGCTTATAGTTTTTTATATTTTTGTATTGAGACTCCAAAGAACTATCCAATGCCCAGTTTCATGATAACCCTTCCATCCCCAACCCCAGTGAAATACAAACAAATACGGAATATATTTTTACACCTCTACCCCGATATAACACGAATTCGGATATAACGCAGTAAAGCAGTGCTGAGGGGGCGGGGGGGGGCTGCACGCTCCAGCGGATCAAAGCAAGTTCGATATAACGCGGTTTCACCTATAACGCGGTAAGATTTTTTGGCTCCCGAGGACAGCGTTATATCGGGGTAGAGGTGTATCTAGTCCCAACCCACACTTTGAACTGAACTGTCAAAAAGCAAGACAGACTGTTGAGAAATCCTGTCCTCCCCGCCTGCAATCTTCCCTATTTCCCTGTCTGCACTGGACACTGCCTGAGAAAGTCACTGTCCAAAGAAGCCATTTCTGCATGGGGAGCAGCACTGGAAGCAACCGCAAAATCTCCTCCATCTGTGATGGGGGGAGGAGGATTAGACAGCAGACATGGAGTGGAAGACTCTGAAGGGGACCAGATCATTGGATGAGGGGCTCTGACTCCTGGGAAGAGGGGATTAAATCCCAGTGATGGGGGGGCTCAGATGGGGAAAGAGGGTGCAAGAAATGGCTCTCTACGAGGGTTTGGAGAGGTGTAGAGGGGGATCAGAGCCCCAAGTTCAGCAAGGTGTCTCAGCCCTGGGTTCTGAGCTGGGAGGGGCAGCTCTCTGGGTGGGCGTGGTGCTCAGGGCCCTGGGAGGGGGAGAATTTCTGAGGAGGAAGAGGGTCAGAGCCCAGCATGGAAGACGGGGGGGGGGGGGGGGGGGCGGGGGCCCGGGGGTCGCTGGGCGGGGGGGGGAGGGCGGCTGCCGCGGGGCAGGTCCCGGGCTCCGGCACGAGGAGGGGCAGGGGTCAGCGGGGAGACGGCCCCGGGCTCACCTCAGGGGGGAAGGGGGAGGCGCAGGGGTCGGGGTCCATGTCCCAGCGCAGGCGGCCGGGGTCGGGCAGGTGGGTCCAGGTGCTGCCCGGAGCGCGGGCCCGATACCGACGAATCAGTTCGATCTCGCCCGGCAGCGCCGACACCTCGAACCGCCCGGTACCGGTGGGAGGGAGGAGGGGAAGGGGGCGGGAGCCGTGCGAGGCCGAGGGGTTGCTGGGAGCTGTAGTTCTCCCTCCCCACGAGCGGCTCCGGCGGGACTCGGCGCAGGGGCTGCCGGGAGTTGTAGTCCCGGAGAGAACTACAGCCCCCAGCATGCCTCCCGCGCCTCAGGCCCGCCGGTCGGGGGTGCTGCTGTGGCGGCGGCGCTTGGAGCGGTAAGCGCGGGGCGGCAGCGGGACGGGGCAGCGGGTCGTGTTCCCTTCGCCCCCGGCCGTGGGGGGGGTACGGGAAGGCTCCTCCCCTGGGCCTGCCCCCACGAGGGCCTGTCACGAGGCTCCGGGCGGGGTGAGGCGGCAGGCCCGGCCCCTGGCGTAGTGACCGCAGCCGGGCCGGAGTGCAGGGGCCTGCCTCTCCCAGGCGGGACCGCGCCACCAGGCCGTGCCGCTGCCCCGCGACAGGGCTCCGCGGCGCCACGCCTCGCCCAGGCAGCGTCCGACGCTCCCGCCTCTCTCAGGCCGGAGTCCGGACCCAGCCTCACCCCGCCAGGGGCGGGCGCCTGCTGCGCTTCATGCCCCGAGCGTAGCTGTGCCGGCGGCGGGGCTCGTGCCCAGAGGTAAGCGCAGGGTGGGGGCCTGGTGGGGGCAGTGCCGGGGGAGACGCTGGGCAGAGCTGTCAGGTCAACTCTGACTCCGTGAGACAGGAGCAGTTCCCCTAAGCTCTTGGCTTCACTGCTGTCTCGTTTTCTCTCGTCTTCCCTCCTCCCCAGTTCTGTCTTTGGATAGAGCTATATAGGGTTGGAAGGATTCGATTTTTATTGGTAAATGTCATTGTTACTGTACACCCACAAACGCTCAAAAATATTTCCATTGATAATTAAAATTCACAGGCAAAGTATGAAAAATATTGCTTGACAACTTACTAGAGTTTCATATATGGTTATTTACTTTATACATTTTGACATGTGAATTGACATTTTGTGTTTTGACAGCTATAAAGCTTTTTTGAATCTCAGGGTCTGTCATTAACTAATTGATTCTCCCCATAATTTTGCACAACTGTGAAAATTTAAAAGATTATAAATAAATCAGTATTATCCACTGAAATTATACATATATATATAAAATCAGATTCTGCAAAGTGTCTCTGTGGAAATTAATCAGTTAGGTAAAGAGCATGAGCATCTGTCAGCCAAGGAAAATCTTATTTGAAATATAATCCAGGATTTAAGGAACACTCTTGTGAGTTATTAATGTAGTTCTAGATACCTCTTTTCCAAGACAGTAATCTGTTGTTGTCCCCTGTTTTAGGTGGAGATAATGAGCATCTGTAGCACCCAGTTTTCAATAGTGGGGGTTTTTTTGTTTTTGTTTTTACGAATTTGACTTTTACTTGTAATAAAAAAAAGTTAAATTCTCTGTTGTAACCGAACACAAAGCAAGTGGCATATAATAAAATCTCACCAAACCTGTCTCCTGAGAACCATACCCTGGTGTTAGTAATCTGTGAACAACAAAATAAAGTGGTGCAAAACAGGTTCTTTAGGGTTCAACAGTGAAACTTTACATTAGAAGGACATTCTTCAAAGTGTCAAATTAAATCTTCTTGCTCTTTTTTTCCTGAGTCAATCCCTTTCCCCTGTAGTGGTAGAGTTAGAAGTGGGTTTTTTACCCACGAAAGCTTATGCCCAGATAAATCTGTTAGTCTTTAAGGTGCCACCGGATCCTCGTTGTTTTTTTAGAATTGTTTTTCCTCTTCTATATCTGAAGCTTGATGAGGAGCCCCTTCTCAGTTTGTTTCTTGCACATTTGAATCCTTTGCCTGTTCAGTAAAAGGGAGCAGGCAGAGAAGAGGGGACACACAAGAAGCATGTGATTGATTGCTCACCAAACAAAACAGAACAGATCTAATTTTAGACTTCTTCAGCTTTGGCAATCTCTCTCAAAACACTTACATACGTTTTTTGTTTTTTTAAGAGCAGATGAATCATATTAGTGTAGTACTAAATTATAATGTTAATGAGAGATGGCTGCTGAGTCATGTTGCATGTATCATTCAAATTTTATGTGAAATTCTGAGCAGTAAGCTTGTATGATTGTAGCTTTCTGCACTTTAAGTTCCAGACTGTTCTAGCTTTCTTGCCACATCCTGTCTGTGAAAGTAATGTGTCGGCACCTACTTAGAGCTGGGAATGCTGCTGCTAATAGCTGTGTGTCCAGTCCATCTATGGGCAAGGAACAGTACTGCCTTTTTTCCTGTGTACCTGCATATTTGCCTTGCCCTGGAACTTAGGAAATCATGTGGTGAGAGTCTAGTAAGTAATGTGTAAGATCATCAAGGAGGAAAGGAAGGCATTGTGTGCAACTTGAGTTTTGATCAATAGTCACTGTACACTGGTGAAGAATCCATTCTTATGCCAAAATACTTTTGAAAAATAACTTAATTTAGAAACGAGATGCAACAAATGTCCTAATATTTGTTTGTAAAAGGCAACTGATTCCTTTTCAGTCATGATGAAAACCTACTTACATTTTTTAAAGAAACACATTATTTTGCTTTCTTCTTTTTGCAAATACCCTCAGTGCACTGGCTATGCCCGCTGATTGGAGAGGCCCGAGTCTAACCCTAGCCCCATCACAAGTACAGCAACCTAACTTTATGTATACTTTAGGTGAGAAAGTTTGTGCTGCTGGTCTTGATAAACTACATGGAATTACATCCTAAATCTGGCAACATCCGCTCGGGTTTATTGCTGCTGTCAGCTTTTCTTACAGCTGTCTCTATTAGTTGAGGTTTGTTCTCTGACATTTCAGGATTCAGAGCAGATAGCATCTTACACCTGAAATTATATGTTTTCTCTGTTAAAGGAAGCTGAGGTAGTCATTGAAAGCAGTTCACATTTGATGTCTATATGGTGGCCTGAAACAAAAGCGCTGGGGGTTACAATAGTGTTCCCACTGTGGATATCAGGATGGAAAAAATAAAAAACTTTATTACTAACTGGTCTCTCTGTTGGCAATGTCTGCAGAAAGGTCAATGATTGAATGAGCCATAAAGGCTGAATTCCCCTCTCATCTTTTGGGGGAAAGGGGATTCCCCCTGGAACAGAACTTGGGCAAACTACAATGATCATATGTGTATGAATATGCACAGCTCTGGAAAACAGTATCTGCTAGTTGCTGTACAACAATAGTTAAGTGGCTATTTTCATTGTTTTATGTATCTTCTTAGGGTGATAGAGTAAACTGTGAATCACCAGAGGAAGGTATAAAAAATTCTATTTACATAACAATCAATTTTAAATTAGGAAACAAAATTGCGCTCTGTTAAATATTCTATAGAGATAGACACTCGGTCTATGTCTACTCAGAAGCACCACACTTTCCAAACTTTTACTTTACTTTTCCAGGCTAGCCGATTTAGTAATTCCACTGCTTTTCTTCTGCAGGGTTCAATTTCTTCCAGAAAAACTATCAGCGTATCTGTTTTATGTAACTCTGTAAGATGTTTTCTCTCCCTGGTTCTTTTTTAATTTTCTAGTTCTTTGGGATTAGTTCAATACTGAGAAAGTGCTATTACTTTAAAATGTTTTTGCTGTTTGACTTGTCTCATTTCCTATTTTGCCAGCTCTACACAATCATATCTTCTACTCTGATAGACATTTCCAGAATACATTTAATCTCTTCTAACGTGAAACCAAGTCTGCTGCCAAATGGGAGATGGAGAAAAACTGTTACAGTGCCAGAATCTGTTGCATTAATGCCCCACTATCAGTTACCATCGTTCTGTATGTTACAGCTATTCCTCCTTTGGACTGATTAACAATTCCTGCGTGAAGGAGACATGGCTTTCTGGCTCTTTCATTAAATGTATTAAAGACATCTATCTAAGATGTTAAAAATATGTAAAACACAACAAAAAGACAAATGTACATAATGTTTGATTCGGTTTTCTGCCCAAACCACTTTGCAATATGGTCCACTTAATAGTATATCCTATATGAGCCCACCACTCTTAACTAACAACCTCAAACGCCTCAATTAAAATCCTCTAGAAGTTTTTCCCCTTTGCTGATTAGCTGTCCATTTCCTCCTTTCAGTCTCTTTACTTCAACCTTATTCCACCTGCCTCCCATGCTCCCTTTCTTCCCCCCCTTTCCTCCCTTCACTTATCCCTGCCCCCTTCAGTGCCCTCTCTCCTTCCCAATAATACCCTCTGCCCCACCCCCAAAAGAATATTGTGGTGCTAACATGACACTTGCAGAACATCATATTGTTCGCTCTGCTAGTATGTTATATCTCTCCCCTCTCCATCTTTTATCTTTTCTATTAAATTGTAAACTGTTCAGGACAGAGACTGTCTCAGCCTTTGTTCAAATAGTGCCTAGCATAATGTGGCCCGGATATCAGTTAGGATTCCTATGTGAGCAGGGTTTTATTATTATTTGTATCTTACTTGCAGTGTCTAGTATCTGTAGGAACTTAACTTTCCTTCCTTTAAATTATTTTCTGTGCTTTTGCTGCATTTCAATTCTTAATGTAATAATAAGTTAGTATTAAAATACTGTTTGTTTAAAGGAATCCTAATTACTTTTGTATCCTGTAAGCAATATATTTAATGCTGTACATTATATAGGACCCTCTTATCCAGAAAGATTCCAAGATGCTTTAGATTTAGTATGAATAGGGATCACTGGCCAGAGTGGAATGCAGCAGGCATTATATGACAGCTGAATTTTCTTAGTGAAGAAAAAACAAATTTAATACACATGGGAGGATTTAAAAAGACAATGTAAATATGAGTTGGAATTTAGCCAGGACCCCAGGGCTAACACCTCAACTTGTGCAAAAAATGCACAGGCCTTCAGTGACTAAAAGTGGTCAGGGGCTTGAGCTTGAGTTTGCCTCTCCGGCTGATAGTTTCACAGCCCCATAGAGCTTAGGCCCCAGCCACCAACTCGGAAGGAAGAACACCCATACTAAATCACCCATATCACTTCTGCCATCACTTGGGTTTTTGCTTTGGCTGCAAATGGTGGTCTCCTATGCAAATATTGACCAGGCCTAATATTGCTTACATATGATATCTGACAAAATCCCAGCCCCAGATGGCATGGATGCAGGACTACGTAGTGGTATTCATAAAATTATCAAGCTTATGTACATATGCTCTCTCAAACAGGGTGGAAAAATCAGTGATTTTTAAAAAAAATCAAATTTATTTAAATCAGATTTATTAAATTAAATACATTTTTAAAAAATAAATTATTTAAAATTACATTGAAATTGACAATCTGTGTTAAGTATAAATTTACTAAAATCTATTAATTGGTTACATTAAATTAAATTAAAGTTCAGGCAGTACACGTTTGTTGCCAAAGTTTTAAAGAAAGTCAAACCACTGACCTAGAGGAAATCACTGGCTAAGCATCTGGAACCAGATTTTAAGTGCTAAACCAGCTTTTCATAGCAGTAGCCTCTTTTGCTGGTGCAGAGGGTATATTTTATTTTCCGTTTATTCATCCCATTCAGTTCAGTTACTAGCTCTTTCAAAGTTGAGAAGCCAACTGTGATTGAAAAATCAGGAAAGCTTCTTTTCCTTTTCCAATCAATGATTAAAAATGAGGTATGAGATGATGAGCTTTGCTAAATCTAAATTTTTGAAGGACGTGGGCCCAGATCGACAAAAGTGACCAGAAACAATCAGTTCAGTTCACTAACTACAGATACTTTGTTTCATCATTTTAAAATGCCAAACAAGTTTTGATACTTACTTTTTTCTCATATATCCAGCACATTTAAGCTAGTTTTATTTATCTATTCATTTTAAAACATTTTTGTGCATTTTAAATTTAATTTCATTTTCCATCCAAATCAAACTTGACACAAATCACAAGTAAAAAAAATCATCTGGTAAATAAGAAATGCATCATTCACCATTTAACGTAATACAAAATGCAAACATTAATTGGAATAAACATGTTAAACTATATAATTGCTTACACTATGTGTACACACATTTATTTACCCCCTGGTTAGCAGAAAGTACCAAATTTAGTGTAAGCATTATATCTATTTGCAAATCCACATGTTTTATTTCTTACCAAGCAATTAATCTACTTTTTGTTAGGAATATAACTAAAAAGTACAAATGCAAAACAAGATTAAAATCAATTATTTAAAGCTTTGATTTAAATCAATTCACCCTGCTCTGTCAACATACAGCCCAAATCCAGTTCAGTCTTATTCTTATTAACTTTAAATCTGGACTCTCTTTCTAAGACTGAAGTGTAGAAAATACTGAGCAGTAGTTTGATAGCACGTTACATAATTCATCTTGCTAAGTCTCCACATTTGAGGAATGTAGGTAGGAATGTTTTAAAGGCTGTTCAGCTTATCCAGTTTCCCTGACTTGAGGACAGTTTCTCTTTGAGGAACCTTTTCTTTTTCTTCCTTTCTTTAAATTGTTCCTAAGATTGTTCCATAATTATAGTCCTGCTTAGAGCCAGAAAAGAGTAAACTAGCTAAGCTATTTTGTAATTATATTTATATTTTTAAGACATTATTTCATAGACTAGATTGTTACTTAGTCTGTGTAGTATTTAGAATTCTTGTAGTGAGGGACTTCATTTGTGGAGACATTTTGCCACATGGCTGTAATTATGTTATTTGTTAATGTCCTAAGGTAGATTCCCTTTAGAGGTATGTTGTGGATGCTAGAGCCAGAACAAGGAGCTGTTGCTGTGCCATCCCAAGGCGTCTAACCTGGACTTTTGTCCCTTTAATCCCATGAAGACCATACATTGCATTTTGTGAAAGATACTAAATCTCTGTGGGTTGTTAGTTCTTGCATGTGCACAGCAGTCCTTGTAGATGAGTATCTGGTGTGAACGGAGCAATTCGCTTCCCTGACTGCAATGGGTGCTTGGACTGCACAAAGAATGCAGCATCAGGCGTTTAAAGGCTTAATTTTGTTACAGTTCTGTGAAAATATTTGTCCTGCAGAATGAATCTAGCAAGGAATTTTTATAGCATATATTCGCAGTGCAAATAGTAGGATGCATACAGAACTCCTTTTTTTATTTCCTAAGACTATATCATTATCCCATTTGTAGACCTGCAGCTGAGCACTCCAAAAGCTCTCTTACTAGATTGTCAGAGATCCCCAAATAAAGGGGGGAAATGGAAGGTTTGAAGGTGGAAAATAAGAAAACAAATGTATTTGCCAGTGAGTAAGGCTGTGTGTCTGTCATGGAAGTCACGGATTCTGTGACTTCCGTAGCGGCCAGTGCAGCTGGCTCCGTGTCCGGTGGCCAGCAGGAGGGACCCCTCTCAGGTGGTGGTAATGGTGTCCACCGAGCAGCTCGGGCAGCCCCTGAGACAGCCGCACCGGCCGCTGCTGGGGCAGTCTCGTGCCACCGGGCCCCCCTCCCGCCCCTAGCAGCAGCAGTAGTTTGGGTGTGGGAGGGGGCTCAGGGCTGGGGCAGAGGGTTGCGGTGTGGGGTGGCGCTTACCTCGGGAGGGCTCCCCGGAAGCGTCAGGCATGTCCCCGCAGCTCCCATTGGCTGTGGAACTGGCACTTGTGGCGGGGGCAGTGCGCGGAGCCCCCCCCGGCCTTCCCTCCTGCTAGGAGCTGCAGGGGCATGCCAACTGCTTCCAGGGAGCTATGCAGAGACTGGTAGGGAGCCCCCACCACCACCTATGCCACCCTCCCCACCCCTGGGCCGCATGCTGCCCCCGCAGCATCTCCCAGGGCTACCCCTCTAATTTTTAATTAGGGGTATATAGTACAAATCATGGACAGGTCATGGGCCGTGAATTTTTGTTTACTACCCATGACTTGTCTGACTTTTACTAAAAATACCCATGACTAAAACGTAGCCTTACCGATGAGTAATATACTTTGATTGCTCAAGCTTGACTTTCTGTATTTTATTATTAAAGGTTTGTCAAGTAATGGGATTGCCATTATTGGAGGCATGCAAATAGCACTCTTCATTGATTCTGTTAAAATGTTTATAGCTTGTATGATTAGTATCATAGTGCTTATAAAAGTAACTGAAACAGTATGTGCTGACCTGTAGTTACATAGCTTTACTGTTATAGTTCAGTGAGAAACTGTCAGGGCCGCCCAGAGGGGGGGGGGCAAGTGGGGCAATTTGCCCCAGACCCCGCAGGGGCCCGCACGAGAATATAGTATTCTATAGTATTGCAACTTTTTTTTATGGAAGGGGCCCCCAAAATTGCTTTGCCGCAGGCCCCCTGAATCCTTGGGCGGCCCTGGAAACTGTATCTTGTAATTGAGATTGTCTTTGCAGCTTGTCCATTTTGTGAAATAAAGTAAAATATTCAGTTTTGTAGACTACAGTGTTTTGCAAGTACAGATTGCAGGTGCTCTCTCTAAATGGAATAAGAAATTCCACCTCTTATTTCATCTGTAACATTCCATTTGTTTTCAGTGCCCATTTAAATAACTCTTACTTACTGTAATGTTTATTTCTTCCTTTACTAAATTCTGACAGTAACAACCAGCCCTCAAAAGTGTCTTTAGATAGTGGGTTGGATTGGAATAAAGAGGCAAAGAAATTCGTTGCATTCGAGCAAAACTTATATTTGAAACCAAGAAAGGCTAGTAGAAGTGATACATTCATGTGCTGTGCATTTATCCTGCTAACCTTTCTTCTTCCCCAGCAAAGTTTGTAGTGTAGGAAATTGAGACCATGTGTGTGGATAAACTGAAAACTACACTCCAGACCTGTTTTCAAACAATCTTGAACATCCTCAACATTTAAAAAAAAAAAAAAAAAAAAGTCAGAACGGGTCTTTTCACCTGCCTTGATTTTCACGTGTGAGGCTCTGCTTGGTGCATGTGTGAGGACAAAGCAGTTCTCCAGAAGCAATCCCCTCACCGCAGAGGAAAGCTTGCCAAAGTCCTGTGGTTTCTACAGAGCCCTGTATAAGCTGAGTCTCCCTGCTGGGATGGAATCAGTTAGGGAGGCCCCTTCCGCCTGTTGATGGGAATATTCTAAACTAGAGCAGCTGTCCCTGACATGAGTGTGTGGAGGAGGGGTGTACTAACCTGTGGGCTCTGCCCTTGAATGCCGCCTGGCCCCCGTGGGCCTCTAGGAGTTAAGGGGGTGGATGACCAGGGGGTGGGGGTGGGGGCGGGAGTCACGTGTCGTTAGGGCCGGGTCTGGTCCTTATAGGGGCTCTGAGTGCCTGAGAAGCCCCGTGCTAACCCACTGTGTGTTCCCTCCTCCACAGGCATATTATGGAACCGAGCCCAGCAGGAGGAGGCGGAGGTCCAGGGGAACCAGCACATGCCGTGGCACTGCTGCGGGGTCTGAGTGCGCTGCGCTCTGAGCGGAGCCTGCTTGACGTGACAGTGGTGGCCGGGGGCTGTGAGTTTGGGGCGCACCGAGCTGTGCTAGCCGCAGCTTCTGGCTACTTCCGTGCCATGTTCGGTGGGTCACTGCGGGAGTCCCGGGCCGAGCGGGTGCGGCTACATGGGGTGGACCCTGAGTGCCTGGCGCTGCTGCTCGACTTTGCCTACACTGGTCGGGTGGGGCAGCTGGGCCCCGACATCGCAGAGCGGCTGCTGCGTGCTGCCGACCTACTGCAGTTCCCAGCTGTAAAGGAGGCATGCGGCGCTTGGCTGGCCCGGCAGCTGGAGCCGGCCAACGCGCTGGACATGCAGGACTTCGCGGAGGCCTTTGCTTGCCCAGCCCTTGCAGCTGCCGCACACCGCTTTGTGCTGCGCCATGTGGGTGAGCTGAGCACGCAGTTGGAGCACCTGCCGCTGGCGCGGCTCATCTCCTACTTGCGGGACGATGAGCTGTGTGTGCCCAAGGAGGAGGCTGCCTTCCAGCTGGCACTGCGTTGGGTGCGTGCCGATCTAGCTGCCCGTGCCCCGCTGCTGCCGCAGCTCCTGGCCCATGTGCGCTTGCCCTTTGTGCGCCGTTTCTACCTGCTGGCGCATGTGGAGGGCGAGCCCCTGGTGGCGCGCTGCCAGCCCTGCCTGCGCCTCCTGCGGGAGGCCCGCGACTTCCAGGCTGCCCGCTATGACCGGCACGACCAGGGGCCATGTGCTCGCATGCGGCCACGACCCTCCACCGGCCTGGCAGAGATCCTTGTGCTCATTGGCGGCTGTGACCGTGATTGCGATGAGCTGGTCACCGTTGATTGTTACAACCCACGCACGGGGCACTGGCGCTACCTGGCCGAGTTTCCTGAGCACTTGGGCGGCGGCTACAGCATAGCGGCGCTGGGCAATGACATCTACGTGACAGGTAAGGACGGGGACATGTTGGATCTGATGCCCTGAGGAGTGTTATCTGGGGAAAGGGCCACAGCTGGGCATCATTCTGGAGGGAGCCCAGGTCTGGCAAGGGATGGGGGGACGACTTTAGGTTTAAAGATCAAGGGGCTTCTGCAAAGCTGTAGGAGAGGCCAGAACTGAGATCCCTGACTTTTCAGAGCACTAGTATTTTTATAAAAAGTTCCCTCTTTTCTTTGCCATTAGTCCCAGGATGGACTAAGTATGGCTTGTTTTGGGTTCACAGAGTAACGATTATTTGAAGTGAGATGTGCTTTCGTAATTAGGGTGTCTCTTGCAAAGACTCAGAAACCGTTCTGTTGCTATGCTAAATGCCAGGGGAAATGATTCCTTGGCTTCACTGAAAATGTTGAACGCGTGTGTTGCATACGTTATAAGCAGACACGCATTCCAACAGCCTGTTTCAAAGGGCCCTTGGCATCTCCACGGTGCAGTAACACTTTGTTCTGTTGGGAGGCTTGCATACAAGTCTGTGTAAAGGTATTTGTCTACATTTTTATTGTGACAGACTTCAGGGCTCTGTAGTTGGTTCTAAGTACAGGCTAGTGCAGTGTGTGGGTAAAACTGAAATGGTTTTGTTATTCTGGTAGGGGTTATAAGCTGCTTCATGGGTCAGATTTGTTCTGAGTTGCTAATAGGCTTGGAACTCAGAGCTGAACAGGAAAATAAGTATGTATGCAATTTTATATATTACTTACTTGACTGTGGAGAAGCAACCTCCTGAACACTTTATTTTTAATGTGTGGGGTCCATCGTCCAGGAGACTCTTCCACTTTGCGGTTACATTAATGTTTAAATTTGTAATGAAAATATTTAGGTTTCCTACAGTGGTTCTTGGTTTTTCACAGATGGACCATGTCTGAAGTTCTATTCAGATGTTTGGCATAAATACAAGATTTCATTTTGCAACAGGGATTCCTTTTCCATGGTTATTCTCGTTTTGGGATGGATTTAGTAGCTGATCTCAGACAGGCAGCTGATTCATAATGACTAATACTAGTGAGTATGTAGAAGAGCATTTCAGGACCCATGTTGGTGTAACTTCCCAACTGTCTGCTCAAGACAACAGGGTAGGAGTCTGATTTCAGATGGTTTTGAAATTCCTGCCGTGATGAGAACACTGAAGAAAAGCAGAATTTAGAGAAAAGTAAGTAACACAGGGTGCAACACAAAGTACACTATGTACGCTTGTCACAGGGTCAGCGGGCGATGCTCTGGAACTACTCCATATGAGGCTAGTCAGGACTCTGGGGGAGCCTCATCTCTCTGAGCTGCTGTCTCCAGGGCAAGAAGCTTACACAGCTTCGACCTTCCTGGATCCGACCTTGGAGCATTCAGCATCCCCTTCCACACCGTGCACTTTCCGCAGTGAGCCCGCCTGGGCGGGGCTCCTGGGGAAGCCAGAGAGCCCCACATCCCAACTCCGCAGTCAGACGTGACTCTCAGCCAGCCGGTAAAACAGAAGGTTTATTAGTCGACAGGAACACAGCATAGAACAGAACTTGTTAGCACAGAAATCAGTGACTTTCAGCCAAGTCCATCTTGGGGAGTCCTGGGACAGAAGCCCTGGACTCCCCCTCCTCCAGTCCCCCCAAGCAGACTGCCAGCTTCCAGCGACAGGCCCTCAGACACCCCCATTGCTCCTCCTCCTTGTTTTTGTCTCACCTCCGGGACAAAGAGTCACTTGGTATCCCCCTCCTGGGTTTCAGGTTACAAAGGGCACCGGTCATAGCATATATTCAGGCAGTTGGAGCAGCCTGACCTGCCTCAGAGGTCTCAGCCAAAGTCACACACTCCTATTCCCACCACCGAGGTATTGGTGCAGCACACAGGGAAACTGAGGCATACACAGTATTCATGCAAAACAGTAAAACTCACATAGGCTCAACAGTAAGACTCACATACAACATAACAAGGGAAAATCCCCACCTCGTCACAACACTTAAAGTAGAAACATACCAGAAAGTCTTCTGATACTATAGACTTTAAATGACATTGAGAGTCATTGACCTTGGCATAGCAGTGTGTTTATGGTATTGAAGGGCAAAAGTTGTTTCTTTCTCTAGTGTACTCCCTGACTCTTGTCAGTTTGTCACAGTTGCCACTGTAACTATTCCAGTATAAAGCAGCAACCTCACCCTCACCCCCAGTGTGGGTGCAGTTATACCAGTGTAAAGGGACCCAAACAGAAAGAAGTTATACTGTATGATGCACCTTTTTACCAGTATAACCATGTCATCAAAATTCACACCTCGAACAGACATAGTTATACCAATAAAGGTTGTATGTAAACCAGGCCTAAGTGAACAGAAAGCTCAATCTCTGACTTAACAAAAAGGATGTTTATGATTTAAGTAATGTCATAAACATGATGATGTGCTAAAACGGAATAATTTTGTATTAACACTGCTGCATCCAAAGAAAGTCACGTATGGTAGTATTCAAAAACAATGTAAGGTTGATTGACCTGGAATTCTGAATGCCAAACATTTTGTCACACACCTTGTTGTGATTGCTGATTTCTTCCAAGAGTCTTGTACTTGCTCACAGGATCTGTTGTCATTGAAGATGCACGGATAACTGTTTTGTATTTCACATTACAGTTGTAGCTCGGAGGAAAAGAGATGTAAAGGGAAAGCTTAGAAGCAGATTTTTGTATGAGGCAGTAGTGAAGTGGGGTCAGGTGTCTCAGGTTGTTCTTTAATTTATGGAGCTTGCATGTTAGGTTTGCTCCAGGGATATAGTTGTCAACTATTGTAGAAGTGTGAGTTGGACTCCTATCAGGACCTTTGCTGGCTAATCATTGTTGAAAGTTGCTCTGTATTGGGTCACCAGCTCCAAACCCTCTCGTCAGGGGTGTGGTGAGGGTTGTAAATGGGAAAGGGAGAAAAGGATTAGGAAGTTAGCCAAACGTGGGATACATGTTTTGAGTTGATAATGCATCAGATTTTGTCTGGGCACCACATGAGTGAATCTCCTCTGAGATACTGGGAGTAAATGGGAGACAAATTTACAGGCTCGTTTGGAAATTTCCAAATAAATTTGAGGTTGAGTGGTACCATTAGCCTTGAAATTGTTGTGAAACAAACTGCCATTTTCCTCCTGTCCCTGAATATTTTAATAACAAGTAGGATGGGGAAGTAGCAAAATTTGTTATAGTATTGGAAAGTAGTAACATTTTTGAATACCTAATAAAGGGCTGAGTTATTACATAAAACCCCTCCTCTGTCTTCCTCCCCACCCCCCACATACAATGGGAAATATTGTGAATTATTTACTTATGAAATGTGCTCTCTTCTGTAGGAGGATCAGATGGGTCAAGGCTCTATGACTGTGTCTGGAGATACAATTCTAGTGTGAATGAGTGGACAGAAGTGTCTCCAATGTTGAAAGCAAGAGAATACCACAGCTCTACAGTCTTGGATGGACTGTTGTATATCATAGCCTCAGACAGCACAGAACGTTACGACCACTCCATAGACGCCTGGGAGGCTTTGCAGCCTATGCTGTACCCAATGGACAACTGTTCCACCACATCTTGTCGTGGCAAACTCTTTGCTATTGGCTCTCTAGCAGGCAAAGAATCCATGGTTATACAATGTTATGACCCTGAAACTGACCTCTGGTCCCTAGTGAACTGTGGACAGCTGCCTCCGTGGTCTTTTGCACCAAAAACTGTGACTCTTAATGGACTTATATACTTTATAAGGTAAGTAATACTGTATTCTCCACCCCACCTCGCCCCACAGTAGACTGATTTTTTGAGAAATAGTGTAGAAGGATTGGATTTAAATCCACAATTTGGGAAATAGAGGCAATTTTACAATCTGGACTGAGGAGAAATCTACTTTAAAGTAGAATCCTTGAGTTCTGTTGGTTTTTAATTCAGTTCTACTATTACTTTAAATACACACATAGAAGCGCAGATAGCACACGTGAAATAAGAGAACATGAGATGAAATGGTTTGTTGTTGTTTTTAAACCATTGTGAGTTGAGTTCTAATGGTTCAAATACTTACCCACTTAAAAAATAAACTGAAAGGCATTCCATCACTGAAACCCTTCATCTAGTGTACTGTCTTCGTGTGTGAGCAAACGTACATTAAAAATAGTCCCTAGAAATTTTGTTTTATTACCTTTGGGTTTGCTTAAAGGAATAAGTTGTATCCATGATCTTTATTTGCTGCATTTGGATTTGTTCTTGCTCAGTCCAGCCTCTTGGCCTCCAGCAGCTGTTTGAAGTTATTCCTCTCCCTCTTTCAATATTCAACTAATATTGAAAAGGTTCTTTCATCAAAATATCCATCCTGTACGCTTGCAGAGCCAACTTTACTTGCTGTTTTCAGCAGACTGGTAGTTCAAGGTTTAGAATTTCTAATGGTTGAGTAGTTGGCCCATACACACCTCTGTCAGGGTTGCTGCAGCAGTAGGAAGTCATTGGTGGTTCATTGGGAAAGCAGCTGAGAAAATTACCTGACACAGCAAAGGAAAAATTCTTCCTCTTCTTCACTCCTCCTCGCCTCCCCCCCAAAAATGCTGCAAAAGAGATATTTTTCTGATAGTTTAGAAGGACAATCTCAAAGCAATAGGTTCATATACATGGGACCAAAGGGTAACTTATTAACCAAAGTTGCTAACTTTCAGTTTAGGTGGATTTTTTCTTTATTAAGTGAGAATAAAACTCTCCCTCTTCTTTACAACCAACCCTAGTTACAGTTATAAATATGGCATCACAGCAAAACTAGCCTCTTGGGTTACTTCTATATTAGAAACAACCTTGAGATGGGAATGCCTTGTTCTTATTCAGACAAGCATGTGGAATCATTCTTGCTCCTGTTTTCCCTCCCAGCACGCAAGCAGTGTGTTTTCACTTTCATTCTTGGAAGTATTTGCCTCATGCAGCACTGTTAATTATAATAAACATTGTAAACTGTGATAAGTCTTCTCTGTAGAAGTGGCTTGACAGCAACTTTAGGATTTTTAAAACAGTATCACTAAAAAGGGTTGTCTTGGCTCTTCACTTGAATACATGAAACTCCTATTAATGCTCTATTTGAGGTATACAACAGGTGGAAGGAGAGATCACAGTGTATTTAAGTTGTTTAGAATCTTCGGGTCCGTAGAACTGAATTAAACAAGTGTGATTATAAATGCTTGACTCCCATGGACCATCTTTCCTCTACATAGACACCTCTGCTCTGAGATTGCTTCCCAAAGTAGCTCAAACTAAGGGAACTGGTTATAAAGCATGTATCTTGGGAACCATAAGCAAACTTGTGCATTGGTTTTTTAAACCATGGTGAATAAAAACTGATATTACAATATTTAAAAATCAGATTTTTTTTTTTTTAATTTTAAATCTGAGGGTTTTTTTTTGTTTAAATACAGGTTTATTTTTAAAAAATAAACTTATATAAAATTAAAATTGAAGTTGACAACCTATGTTAAGGCCTAAACTTACAATAATTTATATTAAAACTATATTAAGTTAAAATAATAATAAGCAGCACATGTTTGCTGCTGAAGTTTTACAGAAAATTAAACCATTAAACTGGTGGAAGTCACTGGCTAAGCACCTATAACCAGAGTTTGTTGAAGTGCATAATCAGCTTTTGACAGTAGTAGGATCTTCTGCAGATGCACAAAGAATATTTTTTCGTTTCGGTATATTCAGATAGTTCAGTTCTATGACTAGTTCAGACAAAGTTTAGATACAAATTGTACATTGGAAAAAGGAGAAAAGCTTTTCTTCTTCCAATCTATACTGGGTGTGAGAGGTTGAGATCAACTAGTTCCAAAATCTTGAAGGACAATGGGGATCAGAAACAATCAGTTCAATTCACTAACTACAGATAATACTTTGTTTTAACAGATCAGTAAATGCAGAACATGTTTTGATATTCTTTTTTTTTCTTATGTATCTGCACATTTAAGGTAATTTTACTTAACTAATAAAAAAATTAAAGTGCTGATTTTTGTGCACTTCTTTATTGAATCAGAATTTCCAAATTGAGCTTGACACTAAATCACAACTAAAAAATTATCTAACATAATAAAAAAAGTAAAATGTAAGAGTCTGAATAAATGCAAGTTAAGCTTTATATTTGCTTAAATAAAGTGTATCAATATAGTGTATCCTCCTGGTTAACAAAAAGATGCACCAAATTTAGTGTAAAGGTTATATTTAGTTGCAAATAAATATGTTTTAATGGTTACCAACCAGTGAGAATCAACTTTCTTTAAGAAAATAACTATAGTACAAATGCAAAACAAGATTAAAATCCTTGATTTAAATCAAGGTTTCCTGCTTGGTGATTAAAATCAAGTATTTAAATTACATTGATTTAAATAAATCCACCCTGTTTGTAACTAATAATAACTATAGTTCAGAAACCTGGATTTTGCTGTATACTAAGCAGACCCTTTTACAAGCATGATGGCTTCTAAACGAATGGCCATCAGGAGAGGTGGTGCTCTGGGATGTCTGCAAAGACACTTATTTATTTCACCTTCCTCTTTTTTCGACAAACTCTGTTGCTATTGCTTTGATTGGAATAAGCAGATGATCTTGTTATCTCTGTCATCACTAGAGTGCTTTTCGTAGATTGCAAAGGACATGGTAGTTCTTGGAAAATCAGTAACAATGTCTGAAAAATATAATACTCAGTTCTAATTGTCTTGGACTCACTTTTCTTCTCTCATTCACATTTTTAACTTTAATAAAAAGACTTTATAGCCAGAGATTGAATTATCCAATAAAAGACGTCTATACCAATTGAAATGGATTCTAATACAGTACATAGTTTTTACTTTAAATTCAATTAACTTAATTCTTGAGACTGATTCAGTTAAAATGGAAGCTCAAATTAATTAGTGGTTGAACTAAGTAGAAGATTCTGTATTCTTAGGTAGTCTTCCAACTTCATTCTTGATAGGACTTTCTTGGATTTACTTTAAGTACTGCTGTGACTGCCCTGACCTTGTAATCTCCATATTCATATGCCAGCAAATTGCATTTCTGTGTCACAATAATCCCTCACCTGTTGCTGTCACACTCCTGTCTCATGAGTGGAATGGGTAAAAGAAGCCTTGTGGGATTATAGTGCTGCTGTCAGTTCTTCCATTACAGACCACACACACACACACACACACACCCACCCACCCACCGGTCTAAACTTGGCACTGGCTGAAGTCTCAGTCCAACCCTTTCAGGGTTAATTTTAGGTGGGGAGAGGTTTAAGTCACCCCAGAATATCAGTTATTTTTCTAAGATGTTCTTGTGCACTCATATCACCAAAGCCAGATTATTTTATTCGGTACAAATTTGCAGGAAGTTTATCTGTCGTGGGACCCAAATGTGCACATTTTGAAAATAAATAGATTTAAATAACATGTTTAGGATTGGCCTGCAATTATCAGCATAGCACAGTGGTGCTTCTAGGTACTATTTGTAATACAAATAATTTTGCATTCTGTCTTGGGCAAGCAGCACGGCTGAATAACCATGGGGCAGTTCACAGAATCATGGAATCATAGATTAGAGTTGGAAGGGACCTCAGGAGGTCATCTAGTCCAAACCCCTGCTCAAAGCAGGACCAATCCCCAGCTAAATAATCCCAGCCAGGGCTTTGTCAAGACGGGCCTTAAAAACCTCTAAGGAAGGAGATTCCACCACCTCCCTAGGTAACCCATTCCAGTGCTTCACCACCCTCCTAGTGAAAAAGTTTTTCCTAATATCCAACCTAAATCTCCCCCACTGCAACTTGAGACCATTGCTCCTTGTTCTGTCATCTGCCACCACTGAGAACCTCCAAGCTCCATCCTCTTTGGAACCCCCCTTCAGGTAGTTGAAAGCAGCTATCAAATCCCCCCCCCCTCATTCTTCTCTTCTGCAGACTAAATAACCCCAGTTTCCTCAGCCTTTCCTCATAGGTCACGTGCTCCAGCCCCCTAATAATTTTTGTTGCCCTCTGCTGGACTCTTTCCAATTTTTCCACATCCTTCTTGTAGTGTGGGGCCCAAAACTGGACACAATACTCCAGATGAGGCCTCACCAATGCCGAATAGAGGAGAATGATCACGTCCCTCGATCTGCTGGCAATGCTCCTACTTATACAGCCCAAAATGCCATTAGCCTTCTTGGCAACAAGGGCACACTGTTGACTCGTATCCAGCTTCTCGTCCACTGTAACCCCTAGGTCCTTTTCTGCAAAACTAGCCACTCGGTCCCTAGTCTGTAGCACTGCATGGGATTCTTCTGTCCTAAGTGCAGGACTCTGCACTTGTCCTTGTTGAACCTTATCAGATTTCTTTTGGCCCAATCCTCTAATTTGTCTAGGTCCCTCTGTATCCTATCCCTACCCTTTGGATTATAAACTTCTTGGGGCAGGGGAGTGACTTAATTAATCTACCACTCCTCCCAGTTTAGTGTCATCTGCATCTCCCATCATCCAGATCATTAATAAAGATGTTGAACAAAACTGGCCCCAGGACCGACCCCTGGAGCACTTCGCTTGATACCGGCTACCAACTAGACATGGAGTCATTGATCACTACCCGTTGAGCCCGACAATCTAGCCAGCTTTCCATCTACCTTATAGTCCATTCATCCAGCCCATACTTGGTTGTAGACAGGGGAAGGCAGAAACACTGCCTGGGTGTTCTGGGCTCATTCTGCCTCCAGTGTATGGTTCACTGCACCCAACTAGCTGGGTAATCTTTTCAAAATCAGAATTTATTTTTTTAAGTGCAGTTTTGACTTTGGAGAAGCAAAGAAGTGCTATTCACGTTCTTTGGACACAAGCACCAATTCACAATAAGTGAGGAGACTTCCTATGCGTAATGATGCAACCCACTCATAGTCCATAGCTCTTCAGCACCAGGTGCTACGCAGATCCATTGATTTCTGGGCTGGCCATTGATGCTGCATTAGAGGAGCCACATGTAGCAGTTTGGAGTGTGCACCATATCTCATGTCTTAGTGCAAGTGCAATTTGATCGATGTGCACGAGTTTGTGAATGTAACCAGGTGGAAGCAAAAGTGCTAATGTAGCACTTCAGGCACTTGCTTGGACTACTTTCACCCGTGCTTGATGAAATGGGGGGAGCCTTTACAGCTCTCTGAATAGTGGTTTCCTTTTTTCTTTTATAGAGATGACTCCGCTGAAGTGGATGTTTACAATCCAATGAAGAATGAATGGGACAAAATCCCTCCTATGCTTCAGGTAGGATGTTGACAATGAGTTCATTTTAAAAACTGCTGGAAACAATTCCTTTGGATTATAAACTTCTTGGGGCAGGGGAGTGACTTATTTAAGCACTGATACAACATAAAATAAACTCAGTGAATGCTAACAATATGTTCAGCCATGTACAGCAAAAGGTAGTCTTTGTTTCAGAGCACTTGTAGTTTAGATGACCAATAGAGAACAATGAAGGCTTGTCTACACTGTGCATTAGTCCACTCTAGAAAGGTATAAATTCCAGTGCACACTAGGGTGTCACGCACTAGCTGGCCTGCACTAAAAGTTCTCTAGTGTGCATTAATGTAGTATACAATACTATGTTAATGCACCAGGGAACTTTTAGTGTATGCTAGCAGGGTCCAAGTGGGCCAGTTAGTGTGTGACACTCTATTGTGCACTAGAATTTACACTTCTCTAGTGTGGACTAATGCACAGTGTAGACAAGCCGTAAGTGCCCAAACCATCATGTGGTGCAGCTGCATAGGTTAGCAGAGATCTTTGTTTGTATCTTGTTGTTTTGTGGTTCTTGAATTATAGCTCCTTTAGTTGGAGTTAATGCTGCTGACCTTTTGGCTGGGACTTGTCAGTTCTGTTACAGTTGTGTTGGCATGGTGGTATGGTGTCACCTGCTGGGGCCTGTGAGCACGATACCTGTTCCAGAGCAGCAGTTGCCAGCAATAGCAGAGGACCCACACATTTGGGACTATCTGCTAGGCTAGAGATCAGTATACCTACCTAAATGGGCATAAGCCTATAAATGTAGGATTGGAAGGGCCCTCGATAAGTCATCTAGTCCAGTGCCCTGCACAGAGGCAGGACTAAGTATTATCTAGACCATCCCTGACAGGAGTTTGTCTAACCTGTTCTTAAAAACCACCAGAGATGGAGATTCCACAGCCTCCCTAGGTAATTTGTTCCAGTGCTTCACCACCCTGACAGTTAGGAAGTTTTTCCCTAATGTCCAACCTAAACCTGCTTTACTGCAATTTAAGCCCATTACTTCATGACCTGTCCTCATTGGTTAAGGAGAACAATTCCCTAGGTTGTCCTTGTTCCCCTTTTTATAGATAGGCACTATCTTTGCACTTTTGCGGTCCTCTAGGATCTCTTCCATCGTCCATGAGTTCTCAAAGATAATTGCTAATGGCTCCAAGATCTCTTAAATATTATAGGATGTATTTCATCAAGCCCTGCTGACTTCAAGACATATAACTTGTCTAAGTAATTCTTCACTTGTTCTTTCCCTATTTTAGCCTCAGATCCTACCCCATTTACACTGATATTCACTATGTTGGTTGTCCAGTCACTGATAACTTTTTTGGTAAAAACTGAAACAAAAAAGGCATTTAACACTGCTGTCATTACTGTGTTTTCTGTTATTGTCTTTCCCTCCTCATTGAGTAATGGGCCTACCCTGTTCTTCCTCTTGCTTCTAATGTATTTTTAAACGGTTTTCTTGTTACACTTTAAGTCCCTAGCTAGTTTTATCTTGTTTTGTGCCTTGGCTTTTCTGGTTTTGTCCCTACATGCGTCTGTTGTTTTTTCGTATAGTCATCCTTCGTAATTCGACCTATATTCCACTTTTTGTATGACTCTTTTTTGAGTTTCAGGTCTTTGAAGATCTCCTTGTTAAGCCAGGATGGTCGTCTCTAATAACATGTTTTTAATTGTAGGTTCATGTTGGAGGGAGCTTGGCTGTGCTTGGTGGGAAGCTCTATGTCTCTGGTGGCTACGATAACACATTTGAACTTTCAGACGTGCTGGAAGCTTATGATCCAGAAACTCGAACATGGAGCATAGTGGGACGGCTGCCTGAACCCACCTTCTGGCATGGAAGTGTCAGCATATTCCGACAGTTTATGCCACAAACTACACAAGACGACGACAGTATCGCTCTGGATAATGCCATTAACCTAAACAGGCAGCGCCAGAATCTTCATAATCAGAATCTTAATGAGTTACGTTAACAGTAGAAAAACTTCTCTGGCTTGAAGTGAATTCATTACAAATAACCAGTGTCACTTTGGGGGAGGGCAGGAGGCAAACTGGTGCTTGGAAACTCTGAAATGGATTGATCAGTAATTGCAAGTAGAGGGGAAGTAAAAACCCTGAAAGATTAAAATGTTGTTGTAGGAAGCATAGTTGGCAGAAAGTTGGAGGCCTCTTTGGGTGCATTGTCCCTCAGCACTTTTCTGTGGATGGAGAAGGTGCAGCATGAGCCACAGAAAAGCTCTGATAAGAGAACTCTGGAAAAAACAGATATTTTTAAAAAAATCACTTGTTACTCAAGCATCAATATTGCTCTTCCAGGCAGCACTGTGTAGCTTTTGATCAGACAGCTTTCACTAGTACCCTGCAGTCAGCATCTTTCCACATCATAACACTTCATAATTGCCACCAAATTCCATTCTTTGTGGCGGTATTTTATGGAAAGACAGAAGATAGGGAGGTCTAAAGTTCGCTAATACCAGAGGCTCTCTGAAAGGGGAGAGACTGGTTTGGTAAGATATGCCTGCAGATCTAATGCTCTTCTCAGTGCTCCAGACGAAGATAGACCTCTTGCCCAGGTCCTTGCCAATATGATCTGAGGGAAAATTCCACCCACAAAGTTTGGGTTCATTATAGATGTGCAGATATGAGGATATAAATATCTAGCCCTAAATATGCTGAGCCACCGTAAACTTTAGTCACTCTTCATGCTTTCATGAAGAACCTATTAAACTGCATTTGCATAAAAAGCTCAGTGGAAGGATATTAAGGTTGAGAGTCATGAAGTTTGAAATTTCCCTCCACCGCAACCTTAAAAATGTGATAAATTAATTGTTAAAAACCGCTACAGCATGGTAAGTTTTTATACAGAATTTTCATTACCCCCAAGCAGCTTGTGCTTTTATTGGTCCTTACCAGGAAAATGTTTCTTTAGAAACTTTTCATTTTAAAAATGATTCACATACTTAGATTGAGTGAAATGTCAAATACATTTCAGTTTCTTTTTTTAAGCAAATATCCATCTGAGAAGAAGAGTGGGGGGAGACTTTAGGGGCTGGGGGCTCATGTCAAAGATCTCTTGGAGAAGAACATCCTCCTCCATCGACATTCAAATCTGAATAACATTTTTGTTTCTATCAAACTGTTTAGCCTGCAGTTGAACTTGGCAGAGAAATCTCTGCAGTATGGTCTTGTCTAGTGAGGTTATTTGCTATTTATTATTGATGTTCCATAAGCTCTAAAGACTTTAACTTGACTCTTTTTATATAAAGGATGGCAAAATTTGTGCTAGATTGAGCAGATAGGTCCTGGACAGTAGATGGGGACACTGTAAAATGCAGAAGGGGTATTCTCACTATTTAGACACTAAGGAAGTAGATCAGAATGGTATTTTTAGGGGAGAACTTATTTAAAGGGAGGAAATAAAGAAGAGCTTCCTTGGGAACTGTCCCATGGATTTGAGCAAAGTAATTGATTACAGTATTTGGTATATAGAAATAAAATTTTATGCTGCTTCAGACATTCATGATACAGAATGGTGGCTAAGCTAAGGTAAATTTACGGTTTATAAATGGATCAATTTGCTGAGTGATAGAACCTTCTAACATGTTAATATTACACATGAGAATTGACATTCATCAAAATAATTTAAAGCAGCTGTTGGAATTTTTGAGCAGTTGGTAAATGCTAATCAGGGCCTTTAGTTAGTTCATAGAGACTCAATTTTGTTTAGATCGCTATTGCTTTTGTAATCAGTAAGTTTTGTTTTCAGACTTAAGTGATCTGGCAGGCTTAATTTTATTTCCTGTATTTAACCTGAGCAAGCACATTTCAATGGAAGAGGAAATTTCCTGCTAATTCCTTGATTGGCTGTTCCTACAAAGCTCTTAAATTTCAAAATGCAGCATGGTCTAGTTGAACACAAGCATTGTCCTTTAGGAAAGAATGATGAAGTGAAATAGTGGGTGAGATGGTAGCTGTGCATTTTCTCAGTGGGAAAACTGTATGAATTTAAACTTCACCTACACATGACAAACCCAGATATTCAATCACACAAATCTTTAGGCTTCTTCATTTGGAAGATGCTGTAGGATATCCTAACTCACTGAAATGTCCTAAGTTCCCAAGGGATAAAGCATTTTCTACAGCTCGAGTCTGTTCTCTCTGGAACACTTTCTCTCTATTGCAAACTTTCAGCAGAGATTCTTCCCATTATCCTGAACTTGGACCACTCAAACCTTGATAGGTTATTGACAGTGCCTTATCAGAACGTAGCTTGAGACAGGGATATAGAGCAACTAGATTGTGTTGACAGACTTAAGTCTACCAAGACTTAACAGTGGGTGGAACAAAGTCACTGTATAAATCAACTTGATAGAGTTGGCAAACTTCAACTTCTGTTTTGTTTTGGAAACCTCTGCACATGTTGCAGGGGAGTCCTGGGGATCCTGCTCCAAAAGCTCTTGCTAGAGCTTCGTGTCATGAACATCAGTCTGCTGGCAAAGGATGACTAGACAAGATGGTAGGACTCCTACTTCTATATTAGGCAAAGAAGCTTAGACTGGTATGTCAGACTTTGACCCTTGGTAGTGCTACCAGCTGGAAAGAACGAAAAACTCACTGAGTTTCCTACGTGGGAGTTGAGAATACCAATCAGTGGACCATTTGGCAGGCTTTTAGTATCACAGATTTATAGTAACCAGTAGGAAACCTACATCTTCCACTGAGCTTGTGCAGTTATTGTAATGGGAGTGGTAAACACAACCATGTGGTGCTCAGTTGGGTGTCAGTTGTTTAAGACATGTATTCAAGTCCATCTTAAGATGTGGAGCACTGCTGCCTACATGTTATGATTTAGTATAACTTAATTTGCATAGTAGAATGGTCAAGTATTTATGCTGAACTGTTAAAGTGTATTTATGTAGAACATTCTCCTCCCGTAGTGCTCTCTGCTGGACCTATGTCATCTTGACGTTCCAAAACCAGCTGAGTAACTTTAGGTTTGTATTTATAACTTTTTTTGTAGACTTTCATTGTGTCCAAACCTTTAAATACTGTTTAAATACCATCCTTTGAAGCAAAGGCATTTTACATTTTGACAGATTTTGGAATTTTATTCTCATACTTTTGTTTTTAAACTTACTTGAAATGATCAAGCTAAATAAAACATGTTAAATGTAAACGTTTTTGTTCAGCTCTCAGTGACGGCAGGGAGGCTTCTAGATCTGATAGGGTTAATTTGCCTGTGGTGGCTCTCCCTCTGATGCATGTTTGTCAAATTAAATAGTCACTTTCCAAAGAGAAAACATTGAAGGGTAGTCTTACTTCACCCATAGAGGAAGTGTGATCTAAGAGTTCTCTTCCAAGCTGTTTGTTAGTTACTATTAAGTACACTTACAACAAATCCCATTTTTGCTCCACTACCATTTTTAGAATGTTTCCGGCCTTCCTATCACAAATGAACTATGCTAAAATGTCTTCTGCATGGCTATCACCGTGTGAGTACTGCTAATAATGCAGACACTTATGCTGTCTTGCTGCCATAGATTGTCCCACTTTAAGTGACTTGAGTAATTTAGTATTCTAAGAGTGGCAGTTTACAATAACCAGAAAATCAGGCTGAGGGGTCAAGGTACTGTGTATAGTGTCAATTAAGAAATAATCCTGGAAGTTAGTTCTCTAATCTGTACTCCATTCTGGAATCTAATCAGCTACTTGTGAAATGCTCTAGCATAACTTGGTTGAATTATGATATGTGCACTGACAAACTTCTTAAACTAAATCTACTTCAGAGCCAAAGCAACTTTCAGCCACAGTCTGCAAAAGCTTTTTGTAAAGGTATCAGGGGATTCAAGTAGTCCAGTTATTGAAATTCTCAGTTCCCTTAAATTGCCTCACAGCTGATGTACTAGTTATCTCTTGCTGGAGAACTTGCATCTTACATTTAGGTGCTTTGTCAACAGCTGTAGCGTTAAAGGACAGAGATGGTCATTAGAGTTTGGTATCCTTAAGCACACAACATGACTTTTCACAAGCTGTGCAGACAGCCCTCAGTGTAAAAAGTTGACCATGCCTATCTTAGTGATACAGGCCCTCTGGATAAAGTACTGCTAGATTGTAAAGTTGCTCATCAGCCTCCTACCATAACTGTTAAGCAGCTGAGAACTTGCTTTTTATTGGTGGGTTTTTACTTGATGCATCCTTTTGTGGTTGGAATTAGTAACTCAGGGTACGTCTACGGGGGATCGATTTATCGCGTGTAGTGTAGACGCAATAAATCGATCCCCGATCGCTCTCCCGTCGACTGCTGAACTCCAGTTCGGCAGAAGCAAAGTCGACGGGGGAGCCGCGGGTGTCGATCCAGCGCTGCGAGGACGTGAAGTAAGTAATTTTAATTCAATCTAAGATACGTTGACTTCAGCTATGCTATTCTCGTAGCTGAAGTTGCGTATCTTAGATCAATTTCCCCCCTCCCTCCCCGTGTAGACCAGGCCTCAGTATTGATAGAGGTATGAAAACTTAAATCATCTCAGCTGTCTGTCCTTCATCAGTACACATGACGATTGAGTTTCAAAGCACCAGCACGTAAAGTAAAAGTTATATAATACAGCCACCTGTTTTAAAGAAATTGCTGAAGACTTACAATGTCAAGCCTTCACTCAAGACATTTCAAACTGCCCTTACATGGAGCAATCAAACAGCTGTTGTGCCAAGTCCATTCCAGGACTTTCTCAGGGGGATAGATGAGCTAAACCTTCACCTTGCACGTGGTCTATGGTGAGCCAGGCCCACTCTCTGCCATAGCTCACCATTATAACTCCTAAATTGGGCTGGTTGCCAACACCACAAAATGAGAGCAGCAGCGTAAAAAAGCCCCAGCTGTGCCCTTTGTCTCTGCAGGAGGATGGTCCTTTACAGGGCTGATTCTCCTCTCACCAAAATGGCAGCTTGTAGCTATAGTGCAGGATCACAGGCCATGCCTGCATATGATTCCAAGCCAGATAAAAAGTTAATGGCCAAGGAGTTAAGTTAGTGGAATATAGGTGAGAAAGGTAATAAGAGCTCTGTATAAACTAGTTTCTCTCACCACCAGAAGCTGGTCCAATAAATATTACCTTACACGCCTTCTCTCTAATATCCTGGCACCAACACAGCTACAATATTGCTTACATGGAATATATTTACACAATCACACTTTTCCTCCTGCAATCACATTCATAGCATTAGGCTCATCTCTCCCTAGAGAACTAACATTTTAGAGGGTCTTTCTGCATTACTGATCTAAGGGGGTGGGGGCAGGGAAGCAAGTGCACTCTTGGAGAGATTGATTAGCTCTGAGTTTTCACACATTTGCTGTTCTTGTATAAGTCATTAAGGGATTTTCAATGGAGCTTGATACCCAACTCCAATTAAAATTCAGTCGGATCTGGGTACTTAATTTGTTTAAGTGATTTTGATAAATGCAGCCTAAATTAAACTATCCCAAACTGGGGTTGGAGTCTCTTTAGCAAAAATGGGATTACTAAACAACTTTACGTAGTTCTTACCTGAAGGCTAACTTTGGTATGCTGTTCATGGTATTGGGTTGTGAAAAGCCAGACTTCAACACTGCTGCTACCAGGAGAGCAAGATCCATGTATTTGTACACAAGTGTGACCCATACATGGACACTTACAACTGCCATACTTGATATTAGGAGTGAAGTTTCACTATATCATCTACTGATGCCTATGAGAAGGATGGTTTAGGGGAGGCATTCTTCTTGTTACTGCCACAGTGCTGGAGGGCATTTTCCCCCCAAACAAAACTACTTTTTCTAAAACAAGTCTGTAAAAGGCAGTATCTTTCCAACTGTGTTAACTGGGAGAAAAGTCCGGTTCTTACATTAGAAAGGTAGTTGACAGTATTAAGCATGAAGGAATAAAAAATTATATTTCAAGCTCAAGCAGGGGAGATTTATTCTGCTCACTTACATTTGGTTCATTAACAGGTAAGCTGCCAACTCCCTATTTTGTGCCCCTTCACCAGCTCAGCTGCCAACTCCCTATTTTGTGCCCCTCCACCAGCTCAGCACTTAACTAGACACTGTTCCCCACCCCCTTAAAGCTCAGTATAAGGATGATATTTTTAAAGTAAGAGGCAGTGGACTTTTGAGAACGTAGGCTTTGAAACACAAACATCAAGCCCTTGTGAACAGTTAGTCCAACCTAAGACTTCATTTTATTTATTTTTGAGAGGGAAAGGTGTGTACAAGGACCTAAGTGCTATGTTTCACAATCTTCGGGGATTGCTGTAGTAATGATAAGAGATTGTTCAATAACATCTGTCATAGAGAAGGTCTCATTTGAACATAGTCTCTGTACAGGGAGTGCTTCACCCAGGGAGCTGTGAGAGAGGGATTCCACAATGACTTCTGCAGGCCCCACCTCTAATTCATGCGGGGGCTGGAGTGCTACCACAACAGCCTTTTCATCCTCAATGATTAGGTTCCGCAGCTTTCTCTGCCGGGGGTTGTAGTTTTCAACCCTGTCATGAATCTCCATGTGGCGCCTCAAGTGGGCCTTTAAAAGAAGAGCAATCAAAGTCCATCATTACCCACCTAAAACATGCACAGCAGAGCCTCCTCTTGGCCATGAATGAGGTCCGGGGGGCAGGAATGTTGGTGGCTAAAAAGTTGGGTCTAATGAGCACTAGGGGTGGAGAAAGCATGCAGGGCAATAAATGCACACAGTAAATTCACAAGTGTGGGAGAACAGACCCCCTCCTCCCAAAAGGCCATAGGAAGGGGGAAATGGCAACAGGTAAGAAGACAAGGATGGGGTAGCTCTTCCATAGAAACTTCTGTCCCCCTAACACTTCCTCTAAGAGAGAAGGTGGTAACTTAGCCTCTTCTCCTTGGGGCTGGAAAGCAGTGCCACCGTGTGGTCACACAGCAGGAGCAGGATTCCAGCTGTGGAGAGGGAATGGCAGATACAGCTAGTAGGGACTCAATCTTCACTCATTTCTCATCCGTCACAGCCACTACCCAGGCTAG